CGCGAGACAATTTGCTCCAGCTACCCCTTTTCTCTTGGTGACCCTCTGTATTGAAAGTAATAATATTATTATGGGAGATGTGGTACAAACGTCAAAGTTTCTGCCGACTACATCGTTCGTTATACTAAGATCACGGCATCAATTAATAACGTTACTGGGTGGTCCTATGGTTGGAGTCCCGTCGGTGGCAGGATTTTCGACACTAGCTACAAAGTTAGGTCAAATTCAGTCTCTGTCTGGAGAGGAATTCTAGAGGTCGGATGCTCTAATCAGTAGTTGTCCTGTTTGGTCCGATCAACGTACCCTAAGAAACAGGCCACGTGCGATCTTTCCTTCCTCTTTCTTCACATTTTTCTTTTAATGCCATGGCACTGGTTAATACGTAGGCTAGTATCCAGAGCTTTCTTGTGAGACTTATCCTGACCAAGTATACCTAGGGTAGTTTACCATTGCTTTCCCTGCGGGCGCTAGTGCGCCAATTTTCACGTTTGGTTTGACTATCAGATAGCGCAGGCCAAGATACAATATCCGCTATCTTATCCAGTAATTCAAATCGAAACTCTGATTGGTGCTAAATTACTAGAGAGTTTAATTTTGCCAGGATCGGTCGAGTGGTTTTCCTGGAACCTGTTTTACTTGCCGACAAGCGTCCGCCTCGCTCTGCATGTAATGTAAAACAATTTCGAATAGAATACTCTCAAAACTTCAGCTACATTGATCATATATGCCGCAGCATCAGTTATCAAAACGAAAAACAAGGCTTTTTTCTTACAAAGGCCACAGAAGTCGTTGTGTATCGTGATAAACTCTGAAAATAGCCAAATGGTTTGTTTGATCGAGAACTTTGGACATAATCAAATGGGTTTTCCCTGGATCACTAGAACAAAGTTTTCCTATGACAACAGTTGCAATGTATCTGCCACACGAGAAAGTTGAATTGTCGACGGAAAGCCAAATGTCAAAATTCCCAATGCCTTCTCTGATCTCTTGCATTACTTCAATGTAAAGCAGTATTAGATATCCCCTTCTTATTGTAGATTCATCAGAAATGCCTCTCTGACAGTACTTCTCCAGTAAATTCCGAATCTGCTGGATTTCCAGTTTTTGGAACGTAATAGTAGCAGAAATGAGGGCTTTGCACATATCACTCCAGAATACCTGCTTTGTTACCAGAAATGTCTGCCAGGGTTATTTGTTTCTTGTTTATCCTTTTAGAAGAATTTATCACATGTGATGTCTCCTTGATTTGTTGTATTATTTGGAATTTCTTCTCACACGAAACCTAGACTTGGATTAAAACAAGCAAATGAGTTAACTGTTTCCAACTGAAAAAAATCAAAACGCGTTTCATTGAAAATTATGTTACCCCTGCATTTATTAACATTCTACGCTCATGTTTGCTACATGCTTGACATAAACCCTTTTTTGAATACCGACATTACGCACAATCATTTCTGTAGAAAATGGATGGAAAAGTTCATTTCAACGCGCTGTTTCGGAATCGATACAAGATGAACGAGCGTTTTACACTATGCGATGAAAATATTCCCTCTAGCCACAAGAAGCTCTTAAGATCGAACAGTTGAACACAGCACCTGTGGTAACAGTTAGGTTATATTAGGACTGTGCACAGAACGAGACGATATTAGAACACAAGACACGTTTTATTTCTTCTTACAAAATTATTTCACATTACAATTCAACGCATTATAACGTGCTCGAAACTGTACAAAAGGAATGAATCGTACCACAGGCGGAGCAAACCGGCGGAAATTTCTAAAAAGTAGTCAAACAGGATGGGTACCGAAAAATGAAGCACGCGTCATTTTTTATATAAGTTTGATATAGTCTGATCCGTCACTTTTCTGGGCCGCCAAAAAAATGATAAAAAAATGTCAGTGTTAAATGGGCTTTACAGGCGGAGTTACCGTGACCACGCCCCTGGCGGTCCCGCCGCGCCGCCGCGTGTGGCGGGTTGCGTCTGCCAGGCGCTTCAATATTCCAGCGAGGCTGTCCTCAACACGCTGCTACGAACGGGGGCCTGGCGAACTCGTCCCTGACGAATGCAACCCCTGGCAACGCAGGGGAGCTGCCCTGCATAGCCGTGTCGCAGCCGCTCCTGACAAGCGCTTGATAGATGCAACCAGCCACACCCCTCACCCGACCTACCAATGCGGTCACTTCTTTCGGCAATGTCTCTGCATAGGCACAGTGTACGTATTTAAACAGCGCAGCTCCGTGTTAAATGCCCTACGGTGACGTTTGGTCGGCGACTATAGCGATCCGCGTGGCGATAGAGAAAAACTACGCTGCCTTACAATTCGTAATACAGCATCGTTCTGCTAAATCTAACCCAAAAGTGTTTTTTAATACATTTTAATATCCTTTTCATTTGAACATGTAATGTAGAAGTTTTGGACAAATTCTAAGGACGTAAATTATTTAGGTAAATCTAATGACTATTGTTTATTGAAAATGAATAGTGGCATCATGAGGAAGAACTAGTACTTCTATACTGTTCATGAAAATATCTAGAAATATAAGTAGTCTAAGTAGTAAATAAGGGTACCTAGAAGCTACTAAATTTCCGTCTTTCCTTTCTACGTCTATTAGACAACTAAAAAAGAACATAACTAGGGTTATTTTCTTCATTATTGCTGCATTTAATTGCAGAGCTGAGCAGCAGTCTTTTCAACACACGCATTGTTATCGTGTTAACTGAAAAAGTACAAGAATTCAGTTTGTGCATATCAAATATGTTTATGTACATGTTAAATTTAATGGGGCGGACCATAGGAACGTCCTGGGGCCAGACTTTCCGCAATCTTCGTGCCGCACTGCATGGCGACACCAGACTGCTTCTCCTCTGGAGTTCCTATACGATTGGGTGAAAACCAGAACGGTATAACAGACATTTTTATAAATTCTGAGAAAAACGTGTTTATTTTAGACTATATGTCAGTGGCAATGCTTTCGTGATTTAATAAACAATTGAAATGCCGTGGGTTTAATGATGAAACAAAACACCCCTACTTTACAGTAATATTGACTTAAATGATCAGAGTTCTCAGAATTTATAAAATGTCACATACCCTTCTGGTTTTCACCCATTCATATGTACGGTAAAATATGGGATCATCCCGTTTTTCCGAGTTCTGACTCTTTCCGAAAACCTTCCTCGAGACGCCGAAATGTCCTATATTTTGCTTAGGGCCGTTTTCGCTATTGGTTGTCACATCAAAATAGTAATTATAGTTTTCTACATTAAATCACACGAAAAACAATAGGGGACTTTTCATCGTATTTACATCTTTACCTCTCCAAACCCAACTTCAAAGTCAATTTGTTTTTTGGTGGCTTATCGAAACCTGTGCAGCGTACCGAAAAAAGTTACTATATTCAAAATAAAAGCTGACAAAATTGCCTATGAGATTGTTTCAATCCATTATTCTATTCTCCAAGGCTTTCGAGTTATTTGCTGACGAGAAAGGAAAAATACTCGATTACGTAACGTTTTTGATAAACTTAGCCTAATTCCCAAGTCCATAATCACTTATTCCTTCACATCACATCAGAAAATAATAGTTAGATCCTAAAGTCCCGACTCTTGCTGACCAGTGTTGTAATAAAAATATGACGTTATAGACAACATCAAATAAATAGATGCGTGTATTTTAATATTTCGCCACAGTTTCAGGAGAAAAAATAGATGTCTGTATTCTTTAAAAATTATATATGAAACTCATTCCTGGCACTTGGAAAATAGTTTAGTTCTTTGTTCAATGCGTGGCAAACTTCTTGCATCGGCAAGCGGACGTCAGTATTTCTCTGAGAGATTGGATAGTTGGCCGGTAGATTCGATTATATTTATTTAGATTATATTTATTTAGTCAAAAAACAGTAAAAAACTGTATGAGACATATGGGCGGAAGAACATTACGCACGTTTTTATGAATTCCAGAAATACTTCCCATCATTTTAACTGTAAATAGTTGAAGGGTGGGTGAAAATTAAAGGTAAACAAATAAATAAAAAATAAAATAAATAAAAATAAAATTATTAAAAGCGCGAAACTCGCAACATTTGAAAAATTAGACATTTTCGTTTCCGAGTTATAGAATGATATATAGAACGAGTTATAGAATGATATAGATATATGAAGATTGTGTTTGCACTTAGTTTATATCTCCTGTTGTCCATGCTTGTATTTCATTCAAACGGTTCATAAATGACAGCGAGCATTAGGTGAGTGAGATCCGACCCCGTGGTACACTTCTGCTAGCGGGGTTTCCCCCAACCGGATGTCTTCCACCAGCGGGGCACCACCTCATCTGGAAGGAGCACGAAGCTCCCGATTGGTTTCCAGACATGTGTAGTAGTGTAGTGCATGTGAGTATAAGTGGTGAGAATAGGACAAGGAGGAGGAAGAAAAGAGCGCACACGGTCCGTGGCCCGTTTGTTAGGTTACTGCTCCGGCATTCACATGGTGTTGATCGGAGAAACCATGAAAAACTTCAGAACGATCAGCCGGCAACTATAATTCTCCTCCAGCTAGCGGTTGAATTTGACGTAACTAAAGAGCATGACTATCAAGCTTGATTGGGTTGCGATCATGCGACATCTAGCGGCAAGACCGAGAAAGACGTGAAATGCAGTAACATAATGCCTCCAGAATCTAATAATAGTTATTAGACGTGATGCCACCGTGAAGACGGGCCTTCACGCGCCTCGTTATTAAAACCTAAGTATATTTTTAATACAAAATAATTATAATAATGTGTTAAATCCATATAATTTGTTGCTAACTGATCACTTGCGAAGGAAATGTATTATTATCTGGTTTCCATACCTAACGAAATGAAAAAATAGTGAGAATATTCAAGTATGTATCCATTCCGCAATGCATTCTGAGTATCCGTCCCTTTGAATATCGCGGGTCGGTTGATCCCTGTGGTTTCAAAAGTTGGCGGTACTGGCAGACAGACTTCAACGCCACCTTATTGGTTGGAGATCGCCGTAGTGCTTTTTAGAGCGGTTTGTTGTGGAGATAGGCTGCCCCGTGAGTAGATGTCAAGTTGAAAACACTGAGGCCGTGTACAGGTTAAGTCCATGGGAAAATCTAATCACGCGTGCGAAAGTGTGGCAGTGCTTGCTTAAAAAGGAATTCTTGTTTCTTACCCAGTTCACTATTTGCAGTTGCAAACTTCCGCCTTTTCTGATTGGAATAATGAAAATGAAAAGTTTATGAGATTGAAAGGTTTCAAGACGCATTAAATACGATATGGCGAAGTGTTCTTATTGTCATAATAGTGGAGAAAGCAAAGAGGACTTGTATGTAGTGTGTTCTTCGTGTAACAACAGCGTACATGTCGCGTGTTTGAAACGTAGTGTACCAGGTGGGCTACTTGGGGACAATTTCTTTAATTTTGTGTGCGAGTCCTGTAACTTAGAGGATTGTGAACAGATCACTAGGCAAAAATTATCATGGTAAGTGTCATCAACATATTACTGCCCCTACCATTTCAAGAATTGCTGTAAAAACTTTATTTTTAAATTTATAGGTTTGCTATTATTGTCCTTGCCATGTACAACTTGCATCGGAGATCAGAAGGAGTAAGCAAGAGAGGCTATTTTCACTGGAAGAGCCATATATGCAATTTTATTGACAAACACTGGAATGTTCTTTTCACTCCATCTGTGTGAGTTAATTAAAATGAAGGTAATGTGCTGTGCTGTGGTTGATTCAATATTCTTGATTATGTAATAGAATCATTTATTGTGTTTTAGAAAAAAGAAGAAAAGCTGGATGGGAACAGTGTCTGGCACACTTTCTCACTTCTGCCCCTCTTTTTTCTTGTCAGGTAGTGAAGAATTGAAGGAACCAGGATGGTGGCGAATTACCCATGATAATATGAGTCCTCAACAAATTGTAGAAATCCGTGAGTAATTATAATGATCATTATAATATGAAACATATTTAAGAAATGCCCACTCCATTAACTCATTAGCAACCATTATGTGGTTCAATAGTGCTCCAAATAAATAAAAAAAAAATTCTTAAACAATTTATGTATGAATTTCTCATTTTATTCGCTAGTATTTTTCCAGTAACATTATATATTATTCCATATCTTTTACCATTGTCTTGATTTATCTGCTAAAGTGATTTATTGACCTGGCAATGTAGCTCCATTTTCATTCAAATTTTAAACTAAATTCAAAAATTATAAATTTTTGCTCTGTGGCTTAAGAACGTTTTCTGCTAAAAATAAATGTATTGTGTGATGAATGCAGTTGCATTGTAGCCTACAACTAAATAGCAAAAGTGTTTACCAGTTTTGGAAAAGATGTGAAAGTGCTTCATATCTCCTGTGATCAGAGTTTGGTACACTTTCTGACATAGCTACTGTATAAGCATCACGACAAACGATGTAGGTTTCTGCTTCACTTTCTTTTGATAATAATTATTTTGCATTCATATGTCAATTTAAACATTCTGTTTTCCAGATTATGCAACTCTAATTCACATATGTGGTTTTGATATTCACTACAATCCCTTCAATTTTCTGGACAATAATATAGAACATTAAATCATGACATTTAAGACAGATAGGAGCACTTCACTCAAACAAAATTCCATATCAATATTCTCCCTCTCTAATTGAGCTTAAAACATATTAAAAATCATAATACCATAACGAAATGGATGAAAACTAAAATTAAGCATGAGAGACATCCAAAATATCTTTACGTAAATCGTGAAAGTGGGTTTCTGAAAAGGTCTGTTATATTTGCTTTTCCAGGCATGTGAGGCAAATGGAATAGCTTTTGTTCTAAAAGGTCATTATGTGAAATAGATTTTAATGTAATTGAACTTTCTTTTTTGTAGCATATCTTAGCAAATGAAATCACGCTTTCATTTTCAATAAATGATCGGACTGCTAACAGAAAATCCAAATGCATGTCATCCTTCCAGAGCCTTTTCATGCCACACCCTCTGTTGTAATTTTGATAGTGCTACATACTCAGCCTCCGTGGAAGGAAGAGTAACAATAGCTTGCTTTATAGACTTCCAGGGGATTGGTACATGTGTGAAAAATACTACAAATCGATACTTCAATTTATTTACAGTGTTCTGTGGAAGTTCATCAGTTGTTTTGGCTTGTATGTCACCATAGTGGCATCACTGTAATGATGTTTAAGCTCCCAATTGCAGGACAACGTAGCAGCTGATGATCTGTCAAAGGGCGTTGTGAATAAATTGAAGTATAGTTCCTAATTTACAGTTGCACGTAAAATCACTCTACCCAGTGTCATCAGTGATAGTATGCCATCAATAGTCATTTTGAAACAAAAAAACTTGTAATCGTGCTTAAAATGCAAATAATTCAGTAAAAGGGACTGCATTCAAAATTGCCGATGTGTAAAAAAATATTGTTAAAGCCAGCGATTACACTGCCGGTATCTGCCAAAAAATGGCAAACGAACAGATGTGAAGGGATTAGATGACAAGAAAATGCTATGATGATGATTCATATTGTTATTAAAAAATAACACACATCTTTCCAGATATTCGAAATCAAACCAGCAAGAAGAAATGCAAGAGTAAAGTTCAAGAAGTTATAGCTGCAGGAAACTCTTCCCCTTCATCATCAGGAAATGAAGAATCAAATGTGTCTTCAAATTACCTGGACTGCGGAGCTAGTGTGATGGAGACTGAAATAATCACGGCTTGTACATGTGAATGCACATTAAACTCTGAATCTGTTTCTTGTGAACACTGTAGAAAGGTATGCATTACAGTAGTAGTAATAATAACAATAATTTTCTAAACTCTCATTAGAAACCAGGCTTGTCTGACCAGGATCCTTATTTTCTAGGTGATCAGTAGAGTCCGGATTTGTATGGAAATATGTATCTCTTTTGCTAATTTTTATCAGGAAGATTATCACATATCTTTATGAATTTGTTCATTTAGAGCATTCCTGACAAATTTTATTTTGCATATTTTGCCTTTTTTTTATGGTTATTGCAAATTTTTGCGCATTCAGTGCAACTTTTGGAAAAATGAAGGGAAAATGGTAATGACTTATTAAAATCAAACTCATTGAAATTGGTGAATTATGATTTACAGTTATCATGGATCATGGAATAGCTCACCAGTCTCTCTAAAGAAGTGAATACACTTTTTGCCTCAAAACTGTTGCCAGCGGATGTAGATATAGTGAAAACTGTTGCCATAGAGATAGATTTAGGGCCTAGAAATAAATTTAGTAATGTATCGTGCCATACATTTTAATAATTTTTGATCTAAGTATAGAATGTTTTTTGTTCAGTGAATTCTGGGAATATTCTTAGTTCAATGAGCTCTTGAAAACCACTGATTTAAAATGTCATACATAAATTCAGAATGAGAAGTGATTGGCACAAAATGCTAAATGTACATTAAGCCAATATTTTTCAGGGCACTGGCTTCAAGAACGAGAATAAAAATTCAAATAGTGTGTATCCTGACTTATTCATCAGTGATGAGCACCTTTCTGACATGGATGTTGATGTTAATGATGTAGTTCCTCTTGATCTGAGAGGATCTGAAAGAGATACTTTCAATTTGTTCGAAAATTTTTTTCCTTGTGTAGAATCTAAGGAAACAGTACAATCAAGAAGCAGTTTTACTTCTGGATTACCTGATAAAGTAAGTAAGAAAATAGATCAGTATCAGGCAGATCAATGTGATTTGTATAGGTGGGTAGCTTCTGGCTGTAGGTACATAATTACAAGTTACTAGCCACTTGCCAGAAATAATTACATAAATACCAACGAAGGAAAAAATACAAATGTACTGCTTTCTGATTAAAGAAAAAATGCAAATATTGAGCATTATCTGTTGGCCTTAATTTTTTGCCACTCTGTGAACCGAACTACATGTCCAAGGATCAAAATGTTAGAAGATACTGTTCTGAAATGGAAAGGAGACCTTTAAAATTCTTCTTTATACAAATCTATTTTTTCATATTTCAATATATTATTTGACATTATATTTATGTTTGAAATTACCTATTAATACCAATGAAATTATATGAATGATGAATTATAAATGAACAATATCAATTAATGAAGATGTTCTGTCAATTAAAATGAAATGTGAAAATGTTACAAGTAAGCTTGAATATCAGAATAATTAAACAATCTTTTAACCCACTAATTTTCCATGAATTGATTAGCAGATGTCTCTTAATATATATAAAGTCAATTTGTCAAGTCTCTTTTATATAAAGTCAATTTGGTGTTTAAGGAAAAAAAAGAAAAATTGTAATGCATTCTACACTTTGATGCATGTTCAGATGTTTGATCTGAAATAGCACAAGTATATGATGCTTTTATTTGATACAAGGATTATTTGCTAACGCACTTGGTTTCTTTTTCACTTAGACCTATCATATAGAAGATCATCATCTTGTTTCTTGGGAAGATGTACAGAGTGAAAATCCTTCATGCAGCAAGAACATTAATATTCCAAAAGACAAGCGAATTGGAAAGGACGCGAGCAAAGTTGTTAATGAAAATCTGGAAACCCAGCAAGTACTTTCACAAAGCCTTTTTCAGCGCACGTCTCCGGCACAACAGAAACCGCCATGGGAAGAGCAGAAAGAGAAAGATACACAAGCAGGAGCAAATGAGACTAAGTATGTTGTCAATATTTGGAAAATTTGTCGTTTGGAAAATTCAGAGTTAACAGTGAACACCGGATCTCTGTCATTTTTAACAAATATATTTCACATTATTCTTGCAAGAAATTTAAAGAAAAAATTGCAGTCCTTTTCAGAAAATTTTGAAAATGTCCCTGGGGCTTCATTTAAAGTACTTCCAAACTTCAAAGAATGCTTTTCAAAGTCGCAGGGCTTGAAGGCAAGGCCAGATGGATTGGGAATTAATCATTTTGGTAAAAATCCCCTGAATAGTTTAGAGGCTTGTGTTGTTCAGTCAGACAGATGGACGGAAGTTTTGATATTTACCAGTTCTTCAGTATTGGGACTCCAAAATGTATAATTCTGTTAAAATGTCAAAGCAGATTTTTTTACAGCATTATATAACATAATTGCAAGTTATAAGTGAGTTTACAAGAATTATGAAGAAATGAATGTATTTGTTCACAAAAAAAATTAACACAGAAATAAAAAAGCCCCCAATTTTACAGTTCAATTGCTTTTTTTTTCTTCTGTGTTAATTTTTCTTTGTAAACAAATATATTCATTTCTAAATAAAAACTTTACATGTTTCTGGAGTGTTTATATGTTTCTGAAATGCAAATTTGACATAAAAAGTATTTTTTCAAACCAACTTTTGAGTGCTTATTGCAGCTTGACCATTTGAAATATCAAAGGGGTTTATTATACATAATATGCTTCAAATTAACTTTAGAGCTGATTTTCATAGTTTCATTGTTTCCTCCTTGGATATTCTGTATGTATGTATGTATGTATGTA